GGGATTGAGCAGGAAGCTGAAGTTTAGCACTGACTGGACAGTGTTCTGTCACTTTAGACCTTTGTTCTCTGTTGATGTCAGGAACACCTTGACCCCTGCGCTCCCATAATACAGAGTGTCCCTCAGGGAGGCATGTGTGTGTGTGTGTGTGTGTGTGTGTCTGCGTGTGTGTGTCTGCGTGTGTGTGTCTGCGTGTGGCTTGTGTATAAACACATTTGTGTTCCCCTAACAAATCCAAGGCCAGTAACCCAGCACCTACTGCTCGTTCTTTTGAAGTTACATTTTTAACTTTAGAGAAGAGCATCTGTTAAATGGATGAATTCAACCTTATAAATCACTACACAGAGTTCACAGTAGGGCTGAGTCATATGGATAAAGAACTTATATCTTGATATACTTCAGAAAAGTGCCGATATACAATACAATGTCATGAAGACTTTAACAATGTATAATATTAAAGTATCAGTATTTATTTGTAAATTAAAAAAACACAGCATACTGTATGTATGTACTGTTATCTAACTTAAACTAACAGCTAACTGTATAAATAGTATTTTAAAAAATAATAAAAATAAGACAAGTGCACACACAACATACATCTTGCTGTGAAGTATGAAAAGTAAGGTCAGTTACCTCCAATATAAGAACTCTATTTAAATAAAAGTAGTTTCTGTACATAAATAAAAATAGGTTTAACAAAAACACTGTGCAGTATAAGAAAAGATGTGCACTGTGCCACTCCGGTCTCTCCTGACAAAAACACGAACCTGTCAACAGTGTTACCTATGGTACTATACACCCATTCAGAAGGGGAACTCGCGGTTGGGACACAGATGTTTTTTGCTAAATGGTTGAGCTTTTGGAACATTGCTTCAGATGTTCCACCATCCCAGTGGATTTTCTTCATCATCTAATTTAAAAAGATGTGAGTGGGTAAACAGTTCATTGTTAGTAAGGAGGATTTTAATGCACTGCTCTGAAGTAACTGTTGAGTAACTGATCTTCTTGTACCTCTTTGCCTCTGTTGGCTCTGATGGTTTATCTGCTTCCTCATGAGGTGTTGGCATTGCTGTCAATGCTGAATCAGATGGTCGTGTTGCCTATGGAGTTATAGGAAGTGCTGTGTCAGGCTATGAGCTGCCCTGGTCAGTAAGAAGGGACTCCACCTCTGAGAGGACTCTAAACTTTACTTCTTCAATGTTGTCAGGGGCAATGTATGTACTCTTGAATCTGAGGTCACTGTCTGACAAGCTGTTTGTGTCAGGATCATCAAACTTTTCATTGATGTAATCCAGAATCGAGGACTTGATGGATTTTATAAATGTCGTGACCTCCTCCTAATGTGCCAGAATGCTGGTAATGAACAGATGCAGCACTAGTTTGATGTAGGAGATAGTAATGTACCTGATAAAGCATCATTGAACTCCTGGAGGGGAATGTAGGACCTTGTTAGTTGAGTCCAGGATCTCTACATCTCAGATGGGAACGGGATTCCATGTCTTCTTGTCAGATGCCAATGGGGGGGGGGGGGCGGCACCGCACCGCACCCCCCCCCACCCCCCGTGATCGTGGTGTGCAGGTAGATTTTCAGCTGTTGTTGTGCTGTAGCCAAGTCTCTCATATTTTTACAGCTGAATGAGAAACTACTGAAAGCCTCTTTCACACAGCTACAGCACAGTTGATTCACAGATCTGTCACACTTCTTTCTGTTGGAGTAGAGATATTTTGGAAGAGAATACAGGTGTCCATCAGATTCTGCTGTGAAACAAACCAGCACAGTTTTTTTAATCAAGGCAAAATAATAGTTTTTGCTTGAATTAATCAATTATTCAAAATGATATGTCTTATGTGCAATGAACTACTTATTACACATAAGACATTTTAGTGTATCATATTCCCAAACATTACAAATACTTTCAGACATTCAAAAGTTTTATTTGTAGGCCTACTGATAGGTTACCATGCCATGGCATGCCATTTACTGTAATCATTGAAAACTATAAAATACAATAAATGTAACTATGCAATAAAATTAAGAATGGTGTTATTATGCAGGCATTACATCTGCATCTACCTTAATTAATCACTGACTTAATACACCACCCACCTCACAACCAAGGCAAGTGTCCTAAAACAAACACACCTGCCCTATTACGTGATCAACATGTGCATGGCGGATCCTTCATCTGTGACTTCCATGTTCACTTATGCAGTCACTGAGGTGTTCTGTTGTTTTTGATGATCCCTGTTGTGACTGCAGAGTTCATTCATCTCAATGTTTGAAAAGTTGGAGGAGCACAGTGAGGGAGAGGCTGAGTAGACTGGTTATATTTTGCATTGAGAATGAACTAGCAGAGAAGTTGAGTTTAGAGCAGATTGTGGAGGACTTGTGCTCAAGAGTGACAGAGTGACGTTCACTTGAGTAATATGATATGTAATGTAATACAGCTCAATAGCACCACACACTACAACTTATCATACTGTTGAATTGACAACAGTCTAAAACAATTTCAATAAAAACTGAACATAATGACTGTACTGATACCAATGCTGATACGCCTGATAGCCTAAAGATGTTATTTAATTTAATAGCTTTATCATACATGATTATTATCACCATATAACAGTTATTGCCCCTCCCCTTTGAAATGTAACGCTTTCTCCAATGTGCTGATGGGGACCTTGTCTCTTGCCAGAATGCCACTGCAGCTGCTATTTCTTACCACCTTTTTACTATTTTTGTGATATGCTACAACTCCTGAAAACAAAGCTGCAAGTGTTACTTGATTTCTGACAGACAGAAAGCTTTTTCCTGCAGCAGAAGACGTCTGTGTTGTGATGTTTCTGTGGCATAAGTTACGAAAGACTGTACTTTGTATAGTGTTACCCCATATTCTCTACAAATAACATTTTAGTTTAATGTATCTGAGGCTTTGATTTTAAGTTTTTATTCACACAGATACATTCCCACATGTTCTGTTGTTAAAAACTGGTATAGTGGAATAACACTGGAAGATTAGCAAAGCACATTAACTTGCTAACTAGCAGAATGATGGTGTTTCCCATGAAGCTCTATGGCTCCTTGTTTGCTTACCGTCTGTAATATTACACAGTGTTGACCCCTGGGCCACTGAATAGAGAACATCCAGCGCTTATAAAAAACTGCCGAATGCAAAGTTTTTTCATGCAAGAGCAAGCATGTGAGGTTATACATGGCTGCAATCTGAATTATCTCCTGCTATAATCATTTATAATGGTTAAACGTTAACAGAAGCAGTCAAATTGTGTGCAAAGGTCTATAAGGCCTCCATATGTACCATACTGTATATTTACCTTCACATAATGATTCTGTTGTAATCTCTGTGGAATGCATAAGATACTCTAAGTTGACAGTGAATGTATTTTTGATAAGGAATGAACTGTGTAGATTAATTTTCAACAGAAGATGTCAGCTGAGAAGCTAATGTGATCAAATAATTTTGTTCTTTGAAAATAGATATAACTCACTTTTTTAGAGAATAGCACTAACTGGTAACTAAAAATGTGAACTTTGGACTTAAAATATTAGTTTTTCATACTGGAAACTTTTTGTTCTAGAAGTTTTGAATTTATCAATGTTCTGAATATGCCACTTAATTTCCACCCTTATTTTGAAAAAAAAGGTATTTTGGAGACATTTTAGTTTTAGTGTGTGAAAGAGGATCTTCGCTATTCTAAATAGCAGATATCTTATTCAGTAGTTTTCGGACATGTAACTTATATCCTTGAAATATACCATTTGCAGTGGGTTTGCAAGTTGATGGCTGATGAGAATTTGTTTAGGGAGTATGAATGTTGACAACCGTTACACGTACAGAGAGTGAGAGGGTGAAAATGACTTGCTCTCAAGGGCCTTGACAACCTTTGCCCTCCTGGCTCTCGTTTCAGGCCATGTAATTGCCACTGACCAATGGGCTCCTGGTTGAAACTAGACCCCAGGCTGCAGCCATTAACGTCCCCCACCAAACGGATCTTGTTTTGATTCCTGATGCTTTTATAGGTTTTGTCTTTAGGAGACATTCCTGGTCGGCACATACCGTGCACCCCTTTCTGCCCCTATTTTCCTTCCTTCCCGTCTTGTGGGGCCATTGCCCCGCTCCCTGCACTCACAAACATACACACAGCCATGATCAGCCTTTGCTCATGTGTGTGTGCACTTGGGCTACTGACCAGCCCACCCTCCCCTGGCCCCTCCTGACAGCCAGCTACACTCCATGAACTTGGCCACCCATCACAGCTGCGTTAAGATTGAAGGATGGGGGGCCCTTGTATCCAGCTGGGTCCGAAGACATGGGTGGGGGCAGGGCAGGCCCAGATGCAGATGGTTTAGGTCAAATGGAGATGTTTGAGGATGAAGGGGGAGGGGGGCACGGGAGCTCAGGGGCACAATAACTCCAGAGGTTACTCCTCCAACCTCTGGAAAAATGCATTCTTGGAGTTTGAGTATATATTAGTTTTCATGTGTTTGTGTTGCAGAGTGTTGGCTGTTGTGGTGAATAGCATTAAGTTGAGAGTTAAATCAGTTTTTTTAGCACAACATGAACTTCCTGACCTACAGTCAGTGTGAACCTGAAGGGCTCTTTACAGATTAAAATTAGATTAAGGCATTTTAGAAAAAATGTAGGGGTCAAAATCCTCTCGTAAGAATTGTAAATTTTCAACTTCATTAGTAGAGGAACCGGGCAACGTCCACAGATTGGTTCCAGCTTGTCATACTCTTCTGTCTGTCTCTCTCTCTTTCCATGTTTCCTGTATTTATCTCTGCTGTCATTTTCAAATAAAGGTGAAATGCCAAAAAATTATATTCAAATAAATAATAGACTGTAAACTGTATTACTTTTAAAACACTCGCAGGTAATGAGATAACGGCCACTACATTCTCGATCCCTTCTGTACATGTCGGTAATCACTTTTTGTTTGTTTACTGGCTTAATCTGTGTTATGTCCCTTGTCTGTCGTAGAATGGGAATGCAGGCTGGGCGGATGAGGCTGACAGTAGCAGAGGGAGAGGAGAAGCCTCCAGAGACTTTGCTAAGGTGAGCACTTGGAAAATGTGATCACAGGATGGCTTCAGTCATGAAACAACCAACAAGACCCCTTTGCACCAATTACATAATAACATAAATTCTTATGAAAGTCAAACTACTGGAAATTGTAAAAAGGTTAACCTTTTTAAGCATTCTCAACATGCAGATCTCTGAATATATCTCCATGGCCCTGAAACTCCAAGCCAGCTTCAAAGAACAAGCACTGACAAAGACTGACGAATGTGCCGCCTCATATTGCCTCTTCTGTTAGAAGTTACACACCACAGTTATAAGAGCCAACAGTCAGCTGGCCATTGACATGCATGTATATTCTAGTCAGAACTAGTCAGTATTTCTATTCAAAGCCCGTTCTCAAATATAGAGAAACTGCACTAAAAACTGCACGTTTCACCAGGTTGAACAGCCAGAAGGCTCCACTTTCAGGGACAATTTAACATGCTGAATGGGCCGAACAGTGCATCATGGTAGTAATAACCTTTTATTTTTTCTTGCAGTTGTATGAGCTGGACAGTGACCCCAAAAGGAAGGAGTTTTTGGATGACCTCTTCACCTTCATGCAGAAAAGAGGTAAGAGTGCTCTCAAGAAATCCACATCATACTAAGCAGCAGCTGCCTCTTCACTATGTTCATGCCACCTTCACCTGTGCTCTCCTCAGCAAAGATTTTCTTTGATTTGTCAGATCTAGCGGCATACACTTAAAATTAGAGGTTCTGTTGGGATTAATGAGAGTCTCCTGAAGAACTCATGTTGGAGTTTTGTGGAAGTAGTTCGTCAATAGGCTCATGATTGATACGTCTTTCAGACTTTATATCCTATCAACAATTTAATATATATTCTAAATTCGTATCTAGAAGGCTGTGCTTTCTTAACCCTCAAAGCATGTAGGGTGTTTTAGATTCCATAGGGAAACATTTGCATTATGAATTGCAGTGTGAGCCTAGAGCCACAGATGTGACATTGGTTGGAGTTAATTTCTCACCCTCTGCCTATGTGGAAAAAGCAAATACCACAGGACTTCCATTTCTTAAGAGTCATTTCCTGTCTCACTGTGAAGGGGGAGTTGCTGTTTTTTACAGGGCATCTGGAATTTCACTATAGATTGATTGGTGTTTGGCCTACAGCGCAAATAGTTTATTTGGTCCTACAATTGTTAGAACCCATGTAAACTGAGCAAGGATAAAAGTGCAAATTTCTTTGTGACTTCAGTCTTTCAAATGTCACTGCTTGTTCTATGGTTGTCATGTGTGCAATGTTACTGATCAACTTAAAAAAACATACTGTAACTCTCACTGGCTAAGAAATCCTTTACTAATTCCCCTCCCCAGAGTAATGGCCTTAAGGGGTCAGCAGGTGAAATCTGCCTTCGTTGATCCTGAGGTTCTGCAGTATCGGAGCCAAGAGGATCTCGCAGTGACCTAACTTATTTAGTTGGCCAACAGCCGGGGAGGCTCAGCTGACCGCGTGCTGCTTTGACACTGCCTACAAGACCCCTCTGAGCAGGGCAGCTAATGCACTTAGGCTTTTATCAGACAAATCTGTTGCCAAGCAAGTTACATGACTTGAGCAATACCTCCCAAGGTGAATCACAATGTTATTACAATGGTGCATACTTTACATTACGTTTTGGCAGGCTATGATGGGTGATAGTGGTCTGTGAGTGTGTGTGTGTGGTTCATCCTTCATTATGTTTTGTCACAGGCCATGATGGGTGATATAGTATGTATGTGAATGTGTACGTGATGCATAGTTTGTTTTGTCAGACTGTGACGGATGATGATGGCGCAGTGCATACATTTGTCTAAATGGGTCCATGTGCATTGACATGCATGTGTAGGTACTTGTATGCATGGTGTGTTCCCATTCACAAGAGCAGCAGCTTCATAGTGTCTGGTCAGATCTTAGCACCCGGAGGTCTTGTTTGGCGGGTGATGAATTAAGCCGAGTCAGAGAGAGGGAGGGACAGGATCTGTCAGGGCCCTGTTAGCATCTCTGTCCAGTGGCTGACGCTGGGAGTGGTGGTTGACCCCTTCCTCATGCTGGTCAGACAGAGAAATCCATCAAGCTGACTAAAATGCCACCTGACAGGAGATAACTGGTTGATTACAGTGCAACACGTACGTTATTTTCTCTAAATTTGCATGTACTTAAGACAGCAAAATAAGTTTACTTTAAGTGAATATTATAAACAAGTCTGTCTTTTTTTATTGTGTCACTGTTACATTTTGAAGAACATAAATGTGAAATTAATTATATCATTGCTGTTTAAAAACAAAGACAAAATTTAGTTTGTGAAAGTGTCACAACTTAAAGCAAAGGAAACAAAATACTGATTCACATGTAACAATTAAAATTTGAATATTAGAACTCGTGTCATTTACATTTTGTACAAAGGACCACTATGTAGGATTTATTGGCATCCAGCAGTGAGACTGAAGATTGCAACCAACTGAATATCCCTCCCTCACCGACCCTTTCCAGTGGCCATCAGGTAACCTATAAAGGCAAAAGGCCCTCTCCAGAGCCAGTATTTGCTTTGTCAGTTCTGGGCTACTGTAGATACATGGAAGTGCGGCCTCATTTTAAGCTGATGAAAACACAACTGATTTGTATTTTAAGGTAATTATACAATTATTAAAACTAATTACTAACTACTTACTACTACTACTACTTTTATAACTAAAAATAATTATAAATACTATATTCCATTTCTGCTAATACAGCCCCCCCCCTAAATCCTGCACACTGGTCCTTTAATTTGTTTAGCAAAATTACATTTCCAGAGTTACTTACAGTGAGTGCAACTGGTATCGGCTTGCATGGATCAAGTTCCTGTATCATCATCTGTACAAGTGACCAGTAGTGAGGGAGTGTAAAGGTCAGTGTCCGACAACAGGTCTCTCCAGAATACTCATCTATAATACACAAGTTTGAGGAAAGGGAAAAGAATATGGTGAGAAATGGAAGTAGTAATGTTAGTGCCTTTTATTTGAGTGTTTTTTTCACTTGGGGAAAATCAAAGGGGCAGCAGAAAAAGACTAGAAAATAAATAGATAAATAAATAAATAAACAGCCCTGGTGCTTCAAATATGGATGTGACAGTGATGTTGCTATTGACATTAGAGACCTAATGCAATCATTGTACAGGTGGGAAGGATATAATTTCAGCTACTCCAGAGTGAGTTCTTCACCCCTCCTTTAAGAACAATGGCACTTAGCTGACTCTTGCTCTCTCTCAAACTGTAGTCTCAATCACAGGGAACAAATTGCTTGGCAGGATTACACTTTTGCTTTTAGTGCCAAGCATATAGATGAAGAGCAAGCCTTGCGAAGCTCTTCTTGATGGTAACCTCTAATTACCTTCCATTTCACTTCGTAGATGTGAGGACATGATCATGGCACTCTTTTTAATGAATTACCATCTTGGAAGCACTTTTGATTTAATGTCATTATTATGTGGGATTTCTAAAAAGGGGAGGTTATTTGTATAGCACCTATTACAGCTACAGAAGCACAAAGTGTTTTACATCATTAAAACGGTACAAAAATTCCAAACACAAACGAGAAAATAGGTCGGTTAAAAGCAATAAGTAATAAAATGGAGTAGCTATGCAGACAAGCTAACCAAAAGCCTATCTGAAGAAAAACAGCTGCTTTATGAAGATTTCACAAGAGTCTAGAGATTCTAGATGAAGTCTAAACAGTTGAAAGAACAGTGTTACAATAATCTAAACAAGAGGAAATAAAAGCATGAATTATCATCTCCATCTCAACCATGGTCACCACAGATCTCAAGTTGGCAATGTTCCTCATTTGAAAAGAAAAAGAGCAAATAATGATAAGTCATTCCACTATAACAGCTCAGAACCTGTCCAGCATGCAGCATATATAAGAGAACAACATAGGACCTAGTACAGAACCCTGTGGGACACCCCATGACAGAGGCGCTGTTTGACATGAATTAACAGAGACTGAAAAAAAGATAGGGTCAGAACCAATCCAAGGCAGACCCCAAGATAGCTACCCACTAGTTTAGCCTGTTTAATAGAATACCATGAGCAACGGTATCAAAAACAGAGCTGAGGTCAACTAACACCAATAATGAGCATTTCCCATTGGCTGCAGCCATCATAATGTCGTTAGTTACTTTAAGAAGAGCTGTTTCTGTTGAATGCAGTTTACGAAAATCTGATTGAAAGGAGTTATACAGTCTGTGTGTTTTTAAAACCCACTATGAGCTGCATGGGAACAACTTTTTCCAGCAGTTTAGACACAAGAGGCAGCTTGGATATACTGGCACTTGTGGAGCAGAATTGACTTTTTAATAATCCAGTGTGAGGATTTGAGGAGATTGATCTAGTTTTAAAAGGGGAAACTATATCCAATACAGAGGAGCACTGTTTGTTAAACAACTGGACCAAAGTCTCCACATCATAATGTTTGACAGTACATCTGGGTCAAATAGAGCTGCAAAATTTTCAGCTGTGCTCTGGTTAATGATGTGCCTGTGAGATATATGTTTATGGAGCAGCAGATCCAAATTACTTGAAACATGAAAAAGAACACACTTATGATTGCTGAGAATGAAATCCTCCAAGCGAACACATCTATACTTAGACTATGAAAAAAACTAAGACCAGAGTTATGCCCTGCTCTGAGCATGGACCCAGAAACATTGTATAAAGTTGAAAGACTCAGATACAACCTTAGAGGTAGCATCATCAACAAGAGTGAGAGCTACCTGGACAGGATAGTCTGTATTGAGGACAGCAGTTCAGGCTGGAGGGTCTGCCCAAGCAGGCAGGGACGAGAAGGCTCAGTTTGGGGAAGACCTCCAGAGAAGTTGTTGACGGCCTTCTGCAGCATCCTACGGCTTTTGTTCCTTGTGGTAGAGTGAGGAGTTGCCCAACCAGTGCGGGCCACCGTGGAGGTTAGAGGAGTCATAGCCGGAACTGCAGTGGCATTGCCAGGATCAACAGGAGCCTCATCTGTCAGGAAGGGGAAAGGGTTAGACAGACATCTAAGCAGCTACAGAATAAACGCTGGTGATGTGGGAAAATGCCACCTTCTTCATTTGTCCTTACAAACAGAAAGCTTAAAAATAGTACCTCATGTTGCGAAGCAGGTTGTGAGGTTAAGTGAAATTCAGTGGAATCTCTGGACAGAGAGAGACAAATGGTGAAGTGCTTTTCCCACCTTGTCGTGGGGCCTCCAGGCCTTGAGAGGAAAGCAACTGCGGAAGGAAAACTTACGAGGGATTCCCATTTCCTGCCGCTGTGCTTCAAAACAGAAAGTGTGTGTGTGTGTGTGTGTGCGTGCGTGCGTGTTTGTGTGTGCGTGCGTGTGTGTGTATGTGTGTTTGTGTGTGTGTGTGTGTGTGTGCGTGCGTGCGTGCGTGTTTGTGTGTGCGTGCGTGTGTGTATGTGTGTTTGTGTGTGTGTGTGTGTGTGTTAATGGTTGAGGAATTTTAGCAGCTGTCCTAAATCCTTGCTGTGTGTAAAGGGGCCCATTGATGGGCTCTGCATCACAGAAATGGCAGAAGACTCACATACAAGCCCTCTCTACCTTT